TTTTTTTTTTTTTATTTTAACTCTAAATTTAATGGTGTTTTGAGTTTTGTTAATTCTAGACTTAATTTGATAGTTTTATAATATTTAAGTCCTGAATTGAGAAAAAAAAATCTTTCAGGCCCCGCATTGATAGTTTACCCATCTTTCGGATCTTTAATTTGATATTTTTATAACATTTTGGTCCCGAATTGAGAAAAAAAAAATTTCAAGCCCCGCATTGATAGTTTACCCACCTTTCAGTCTTGTATCGATAAAACTCCTCGTTTTAATGAAAAATCACAACTTTCTTTCTAGTTGAAGAAAAAAAAAATTCAACCGTCATTGTCTTGCAAATCGTAGTAGAGAGATCTGATTATCGAAAAAGCCCATTTCCGGGTCAAGAAACCTCAATTGTAGCCCCATATTTTCATGATAAAAAAACTCATTAAACTCAATTGGTATATTTTGAAAGAGAGAAAGAAATAGGAAAAATTTCCCCTTGCATATTGAGCTGTGAGAAAAACCCTGTAAAGATGGCCCCTTCAGTTTCCTAGTATATATATACAGACAACACATACATATATACCTTACAACAACCTATAGATCCCTATCGCTTTGCCTATAACACTAAAAAAGACTCCTTTTTTATTATTATTATTATATTATTTTTTTTCCCCTTCTTCTTCTTCTTCTCGTTCTTGAGATTAAAAAGGAAAAAAAGGAGAGAAAAATAGATGAATCAGATGATGGGCGACAAGGAGAACCCAAGAAGGCCAATGGGTAATAATGGTAAGAAGAAGAAGAAAAAGAGGGGCGGTGCGAAGAGGAAAATGACCCTTGAGCAGACGGTGGCGTACAAGGCGGTGAGTGAGTGGATTTTCTTGGACCAGACGAGTAGCAATTGTAACTCACTGAGTTTTGGTGACCCGTTTCTTGATGATTTTGGGGTGAAATGGTATCAGCCAAAGGAGAAGCTTGTGTTCGAATTTCACTGTCACACCACATGCAGTGATGGGTTTTTGTCCCCTACTAAGCTTGTTGAGAGAGCCCATCAAAAAGGGGTGAGCTAATTTTTCCTTCTTTTCTAAAAGAACAAAGGAAAAAAAAAAAAAATCTTATTTTTTACCTTTTGGGGTTTAATGTAATAGGATAAATTATGTATCTTTATGTTTTTGCATGTGGTGAAGATTGTTGGGAGAATTTGAGTTGTGAAGATTTTGCTATCTATCTTGCTCCTCTTCTTAAGTCCATGCCTTTTGTTGTAGTTTAATCACTATTTGGTTTTCTGTTTACATATTGATATGGTGCTCTGAATGTGTTACTGTTCTGTTGTATTGCTTTGATAAATACTGTATGGGTAAGTTGTGGAATTTGTTTTTGTCTCTACAATATTCCCATGTTTGACCTTTGAGTGCTTGCATTACCGATGTGTTTGAAATGCAATACTTGTGTATTGTTCAGGGGAAAGTTACGGGGGAGGAGCATTGAGCAATAAGCTCCTCCAAGTTTCAAATATATCAGGATGTGGCTGTGCTGCTTTTTTTAATTCATTTTCAAGATTGGATTTTTATTAATGCGAAAACATAATGCTTTTTTATTTTGAAGAGAGTTTGTATACGGAAAGGGATATGAGATGTTCCAAAATTTCGATGCCGGTGAGAAAATGGAAGTAGACGGTGTTGTTGACTATGCATTTGATTTAGACAAGAATCTGGGTTTTTCTTTAACATGTGAGGCATACGTCGAACAAGATTATATTTGAAGAACGGTATAGATACACCTCGCAAGCTGGACAGGTATTTATATACTAGCAAAAGAGGTCATCTATTTAAGCTTTCCCTCTTTTGGATGAAGGAAAAGGACTTTTATCACCTTCGCACTGCGAGCTATATCCAATTTAGGAATTTAGGTGGAGAAAAGCAGAGAATGAGCTGTGAACTATTTATGTTCTCTCACACAATCATCTTTTTTAACGATTAACCTGCACTTATAGAAGTTATGTTAGCAAGTTTATGTTAAGTGCGGTTACAGCTCATTTTTCAGCTGACTTAATGGAGGTTACTTTCATTCTTACTTGTGTGGCTGATTGTTATTGTATAAATGGTTGCTTGCAAATTTCCACTAATGAGTTGATTCTTTTCGAAGGTCCTCGTGGCAGTTAAATCAATAGTGATTAATAGAAACAAATGGAGGTGATTATGTGCTACCGATATTTGTTTTGGTACAGAAATTGGCAAATCAGTTATAAATCCAAAATTAGAAATCCTTATTTTTCTTGAGAAAACACATGTGCCACATAACACTTGGATTCTGAAGTACTGAACGCTGATAACTGAGCATCAGTTGATCGATTTTGGATGTTATAGGTGGAACAGGGACCACCTTTCGTGTGTCAAACTAATAGTTCAGTTAATGTAAATCATCCAATGAGCTGATTTTATATGCATTGTATAAACTGACACGAACATGAAGTTCAATTTTAGTATCCTTATCTAGTTGTTCATATTGTTTTAGAGTAGGTTGGGAGAGTTTTACTATCTATGCTTTCATATTATTAATCTAATATACTAATCGTTAAGATGAATGCTCATGTGGTAAGTGGCATGTGCAAGAGAATTTTAAAGTCTTCTAGAAAAGCCTGAGAGTTGATTTTCCAGGTAGTCAGTAAATATATATCTCTTGTATGCATGACTTATTTTTGTAATTGATTATTATTATAAAAATGTGAATCATTCCATTCAAAATTCTTCACTGAAGCGCCATTTAGGAAGTAGAGGCTTCTGATCTTTACTTAATTAGAATTAGAAAAGGGAAACCCTTTTTACCCCCTTCTATGAATTATTTGTTTGATTAAAATTGGAAAAAAGATTGATTGTTTAAGGTAATGTCCAGAACAGGTGAAAGTCTTGGCTTTGACGGATCATGATACGATGTCTGGCATCCCTGAAGCCATAGAAGCAGCTCGAAAATTCGGCATCAAAATAATTCCTGGGGTTGAAATAAGCACAATTTATTACTCAAGGTAAACTTTTGTTCTCTTTTCTTTTTAATTTATCATACCAACAAAATTTTTTAATTGGTTTAGATTCCCTTCTACGCTAGTAAATGGTCTCGTGCTCTAATTTCTTTTATATAGATATAAAATAAACAGTTACACCTTCTGTTCATTAATTATTTAAATTTGCGTATTTTTTTTTTTTGTTTTTGTGTGTGGGGGTGTTAAATGGCTGCAGAGGGGACTCAGGTACACAAGAACCCGTTCACATCCTGGCGTATTACAGTAGTTGTGGGCCAGCAAGACCCGCGGTTTTAGAGAAGTTTTTAGGGGATATTCGGGATGGACGGTTCTTAAGAGCAAAGAACATTGTTTCAAAGCTGAACAAGCTTAAGCTGCCTGTTAAATGGGAAAATGTAGTGAAAATTGCAGGAAAAGGTGCTGCTCCTGGAAGGCTCCATATCGCCCGTGCCATGCTCGAGGCTGGACACGTCGAAAATCTAAAACAAGCTTTCTCGAGATATCTTCATGATGGCGGACCCGCTTACTCCACGTAATAGTTATCTTGTTTTTTTTCCCTTATGGTATTCATGCAGAATATGACAACTGATTTCACCTGTTAATATATTAAAATCGAACAAAAGAAAAAATGTCAAAATCGTACCATCTAAACAAATTAACTTTTGGATGTATCTTGATATTTAGATATTTATCATGTGAAAAATAATTTATTATAGTGAGTGGTTTCTTTTTTCCCATTTTTCATTTTTATTATTATCAGAGGAAGTGAGCCCATGGCAGAGGAAACTGTGAAATTAATACTTGAGACAGGAGGTGTTGCAATATTAGCACATCCATGGGCTTTGAAGAACCCTGCCGTTATAATCAGAAAACTGAAGGACGCTGGCCTACACGGTTTAGAGGTCTACAGAAGTGACGGCAAGCTATCAGGTAATTTAATTATTTTCTTTTGTGGTATTACAAACCGCTAGCACATAAATGTTCCGTGCATATTTTATTTTTCAGTTTTATTTTCCTAGTAATCTCTTACAGCAACTGTATTTCAGCATTTTTTCTTTTCCTAGTCTGCAAATTTAACAAAATCTTTATAAATCTTGCCAAGAAATGACAAAGTTCATGCATGTGATTGATGACATTTAAGTAGTTCACTTTTATTTAGTTTTTATTTTTTTCTTTAAAGGTCTGATAATTTTTCATTGTCGTGTTCAGTGTATAGTGATTTAGCGGATGCACACGATCTTTTGAAGCTTGGAGGATCAGATTATCATGGAAAAGGGGGACAACAAGAGTCCGATGTGGGGACCACGAGCCTTCCCCTCTTGATGGTGCATGAGTTCCTTAAGGTGGCTCGGCCCATTTGGTGTAGCGCCATAAGAGACATCCTAGAAAGCTACATCCAAGATCCTTCCGAATCAAATTTCCAACATATTGTTAAATTCGGAAAGACTAAAGCTTCCAAGAGTAGTTTGCCTTTCAGCAGCGAGAGTGAGTTGATCAACCATTGTTTGTCATCATGGCTTTCGAATGAAGAGAGAGAAAGTGCGGATTTTGTGACGATCAAATTGGAGCTCGACCAATTGGCGGCTGCCTGTTTACAGTTAGAGGCCCATGAAGAGGGTAATTAATTTTGTTAAAGGTATTTTTCATTGAAAAGAAGAAGATGAATTTTGTTACATTTTGGAAAGCGGAGATTGTGAAACAGGTCAAAAGAACAGAAGTATAGTTTCTTTTACAGTTCTATCGTTTTTCGTTTAAGATCAACTTGTAAGTTGTAATTTATAGTAAAACTCTGAATAGTTTTCTGAATGAACTGTGCATATTGTGGGTTCAGGTGCACAGTTTTTGGATCGAGCCTTCACTATGAGAATGGCTTTATATTTCTTCTCCATACCCTAGGATTCAGATCTTAGCAAGGTCGATGTACCTGAGATGTACCGCCACAAGATGTACGTAGTAAGTTGTATCCTTACTTTCGAAATTTCCTTTTTATCAATTAAACATACTTTACACCAACCAGCCTTTGAAATCCGTTGTATATCATCCCAGTTGATAGGGACTATCTTCCGAGCATGTGTAGCTCTCCTGCTCGGAAAAAGGATATGTTCAGTCGTTTCATTTTCTCCCTACAAGCTTTGCAAATGAGGTCCACCCCCACTCCCTTCTTCCTGATATTATCATTGATAGGCAATCATCGTTAAAGAATTTCCATATAAAGTGCTTCAATTTCCCTTTCACCTTCAGTTTCCAACTTATTGATCTTGTTAGACTCTTTCTGAAGTACCACTACCTTCAACCCTGTTCAATGTCTACCTTTTTTTTATCACAAATAAATTTATCATAAGAGGCGGCTATAGAGAAATCCATATTTTTTGTTTTCAAAACACCGTACAAATCTATCTATACGTTCTAAGTTTAGAGACTTGATCTTAAGAATTTCGTCGCACTCATTCTCAGAGAATAGGCTCCGGAGTACGCTCCTGATATGTCTCTACTATCAGGTTCAGGATTTAGCTATTTCAAGAATGGGATTCGTGAGTGATCCCATGTGTTAATTGTTTTTTCCATCCTTTACTTCAAATCCGAACCCCAGTGGATTTGGTTTGGTCACCAATCTTCCTTGGGTGATCCCATGTATTCATTGTTTTTTCGATCCTTCGTTTCGAATCTGAACCCCAGTAGATTTGGTTTGGTCAGCAATCTCCCGAGCCGCTTCAATGATCAAAGCTTCATTGAATATCTTAATGGTGATTAGAACCCCAAGCTCTCTAATGTATTCTTTTTTTTTTTTTTTTTTTTGGTGCTGAATATCTGTCTTACTCCAATAGATATTGGCACAAAGTTTGGAAATATACTTACACAGACCCATAGGAAGGAATGAGAAAGATAACAAAAAAAACAGGTTTAATGCATTCAGATTTTATCAGCAATCCCTTCCCTGCAGTGGACTAAAACTTGTTAATTTTCAACTATTTATTCTACTTCTAACCACTTCCATTACAAAAGCAAAGGTATCTATTTTAGACCTACCAAATGCGATTGGATTCCCACAAACACTCGACGGCTAGACTCTTGTACTCGAGCATAAGTATTCTTACTGAAAAAAAAAAAATGAAAGACTTATCCTCGTTTACGTTTGTATGAAAAACTAAGGTATGGTTCCAGTTGTTTAGGAGTTGCCAGATCCAAATAAGCTGTTCATAGCTATGCATAATCTTTCTTTATCAAAGAGCAATAATGTCGGGAAAATTAAGGGGACATACACAACCTGGAGCCTTTTCAGGGTTGATGTCATCCTCCTACACTTCTGCCACTGGATTAGCATTCATATCCACAGTGATGGAGTGTGGAATTTGCTGAAGAAGCGCCTCCGACCAGTAGAGCGTTAGAGGCAATTGCATTGCCTCAACGGTCAACCTATCAATAGCATTGCGTTTTCTTCTTTGCGTTTTCTTCTCAACGGTCACACACACACACACACACACACACACAAAGACTTGTTCATCCATAATATTTGGGGTTTTCTCAAAGATCTGTTTGCATATCAAAATTTAGAATATATGATAATTGCTCATTGCTTCATTTTTCATGACCCTATGGCCTATAAGTAATTTTCTACAAGAAATCAATCTTTACAAACTATTTTTTGTCATCAGGTACCCCTCGTACATGTCTTGTAAATAACTTAGAACAAATATCTATTGAAATTGCGACATATATCTTTTTACTTTCTTATATAAATATTTGAAGAAAATCACGTTTAGTAAACTACTAAATTACCCTTACAAACTTGTGAAAATTTCTTTTATATGATACTCGAACTTTACATCATTTCAGCTTTTGGTACCTGCAGTTTCACTTCATCATTTTTGGTATCCAATGTTTCGTCTGTTGATCAGTTTAGTCCACGCCGTTAATTTTTTGTCAAACAATCGTCTGGTGACTTGCAACCACCGACAAAATAGCAGGAAAAAAAAATACGCTGAAATGGCATTTCAAATTGAAGGTCCATATGAACTCAAAACGTCGTATTGATTAATGAGTATTGTATTCTATGAAAGAGTGAACAAAATGAGAGCTCACCCTTAAACTTCGACAACTGCAAATTTGAAAACTTCACGAGTATTTTTTTGGCTATTGGAAGATTTGATCAAAGAGCGGAAAAATATTGTTGGATTCCTTATGAAAAGAGTTCCTTATACATACATGTTTCATGAAAGTCCAACGGTTGGATCTCCAGTGACATTGTGACAAATTTCAATGCTTAGTTTTTCATATTTTCAAAACATTAACAATGATTTAACAAAACTCGCCTCGAGGTATCGTGTGATGAAACTAAACATTTCTTGAGTTCCTTATACATACATGTTTCATGAAAGTCCAACGGTCGGATCTCCAATGACATTGTGACGAATTTCAATGCTTAGTTTTTCATATTTTCAAAACTTTAAGAATGATTTAACAAAACTCGAGGTATCGTGTGATGAAACTAAACATATCTTCAGAAA